AAAACATGGTTTCTAAATCCAATATGAAAAATTCTTCAGCTTTAAAGCTCTTTTTGTTTCTACTGTATATGTAGCAGAACAAAAATTTTTTTTCTTGCTGAATGTAATTTCTTACAAGTTTCCACTCCATTCGAGATTAAAATTTTCAAAGACCTAACGGGTTGTATTTAATGGGAGTCGACCATATTTCTGCATTTCTTTAAGCCAATGAGATTGACGTTCATTTAACATTTGTTTTATTAGCCATAAATTACATATCGTGTGATTTTTATAGTGTTATAGTTATTAATATCTATGCTAAATTTCAATATATCGTACCTAGTTATATTACTTATTGTTGTCCTAATGTCCAGATTTTGAATACTCTAACTCTAACTAACAGTCTTTGTCCTGAACTCAATGTAACAAATAACTAATGCTTTTTCTTCAAATTAATTAATATGTTTCATGAGTATAAATACTTTTAAAAATAGTGAATGATTGAAAAAACATTTTCAAAAAATTGCTTTAGCTAGATAAAGAATTAAATGAATAATGTATTATGTAAATCAAATTTAAGTAGTCCAATAATAACAATAGAATTACATATTATTTAAATTCTTTAATTAGTTTGTCGACATAATTTTCTTTTATACCGAGTTCTGAATAAATGATGTATTTTTGTTTATTTTCTACTTAGGTCAATAGAGATAAAATTAAATATTCATATCGATTGTAGTGGGTTTAGAGTATTTTTCTTATTGTATAAGCGTTACCTGAACAAGTGGATAGCAATAGAAATTAGAATAGAATATAATTTTTTTATCAATAGAACAAGAAATTGACAACACTAATCAGAACGTATTAAACCTTTTTTAACAATCTCTCCCTGAACGAGGGCCTCCAAAGCAAAAGTCTATATTCGGATCATCATAACTAGTGCAAACAAACTGCCTCGAATCATGACAATACCAATCGTTACTTGAAGGAAGAGCCCAAGGGACAGTAGTATCACAAAGATCAGTTATGTTGATTCCATAATTTCCGATTTTTTCGACTTGAGGACATCGGAAGTTAGCATTATGTATTAAACACATCACATCAGAACGCACACACAAATCCTTATCATTAATTTGTGAACCAAATCTTGTAATTTTAGTACCACAAGATCTATGGAGATCACCATCACGATCATCACAATTATCGTCTACAAACGGGTAGTTGCAAAATAGATCCTGCAAAGTGTCATTACTACATATTACCACACCATTTACTATTAATATCAATCTAGCTACAATTGGTGTAATTTTTTGTCTATATGTTTCACTAATTTGTTCTGGATTAATGCTTTGATAATCTAAAAAATTATCAAATGTATGATTTACTAATAAGGAATATTTTTCGTCAACCATAGAATCAGTTTTCTTTAATGCATCAATAAAAGGATTTGTAAT